CTCTTTTTACCCTGTGTTCACTGGGCCCCTGGGAGGCCTGAAGACTCCTTGGGTCACCTTTGCCTCCCCGGGGCCAGTCCCAGTACTTTCCACCCTTTGGCTTGGTACATATTGGCTCACGTGTAATAGAAACAAAGGCCATTTTCCAGGAATCGGGCAGCTTTTGGGAATAGCCAAGGATGCGGAAGTGAAAAGATACTTGAGTTTCTGTGGCTTTTATTTTATTTATTTATTTATTTTTGAAGTGGCAGCAGAGGGACAGCCTTGAGAAACTCAGAAGTCAGGAAAAATGCAGCTTGAGACCCCAATTGCCTTGCAAGGCCCTTTCACTTTCCCCTGTCCCCTGAGGCTGAGTTCAAGGCCCAGTGTCCTTGTCCTCAATTTATTCTCCCTGGTTTGGCTTCTTTAAGCTCACTGCTTTTGAGCCTCTTGAGTTCCTGCAGCCGACAGGAAACTCATGAGTAACTGTTAGAAACAAAACACAATGCGAGCTAAGGCCTTTGAGTTGGGAGACCATGCTTCGTTCTTTCTTTTAAATGCTTCCATGGGCCAGCCTAGCAGATGCTGAATCAATGCTCGTGGACTTGATGGTAGGAAATGTTTGTTTGCAGACTACCAGGGGTCACATTGGTCAAGCTGGATTATGGTCCCTTCTGACTTTATCTCAGGCAAGAGTTGGGATTTTGCCACCGTCGCTCTCCTTTCATTTCCTTGTTGAATTCAGTTTCCCCATCTTGGTGCTGTCTCCTGTTCTGCTCCAGTTCAGCTCAGTCATCCAGGCCCAGCAGCACCATTGCCTTGGATGTGGGCACTGTGATGCTGACAGTGTGGCTCCTGGCCCTTGGTGAGCCAGTCTGGCTACAGCAGGGCATGAGGAAGAGGCCTCTAGCTCTAGCATAGAAGCTCCCCTGGGTCAGTTGGTGGGAGGCCTTACTGGTTAAGGTCAAAGTCAATAGGGCAACTTTTGCTGGGTGCAGCCTCTAGTGATGCCCATAGTAACTGATCCCCACTGATGCTTCTCTCTCTGCGGAGAAGCTCCTGCAGCCCATGCTCTTTGGGCAAACATTTGACTACTGGAAGACCTTAGTCTCTGCCCTGTACTCTGGTGTGCCCAGTGGCAGCCTGCCTCCCTCCTTCCCTCCTTGCTGGTTATTTGTAAATCTGCTCAGTGTTACGGTGGCACTTACCAGCAATGCCAGGGAGACAAGGGGGTGGGGGTGAGGTGAGCAAATAAGTGCAGGCTTCCCACAAAGTGCCTGTTTCTCCTTAGCCACTGACTTGCCCCCACAGTGACACAAATGAAGGGCTACCCATGCAGACGGGGAGCTTATGCTGGTCTGGAGCAGAGCAATCACGAGGAAAGCAGGAGGGGCCAAGGGTTCTAGATGGTAGGCACGTTGCTGGGGTCCAGGCTTCAGAACAGCTCGTTCATGTGGTGAACTCCAGGAGCTAGAGCCAGGTACAGTGGCTCACACCTGTAATCCCAGCACTTTGGAAGGTGGAGGTGGGTGGATCATCTGAGGTCGGAAGTTCGAGACCAGTTTGACCAACATAGAGGAACCCCTTCCCTCCTAAAATTGCAAAATTAGCCGGGTGAGGTGGTGGCGCTGCCTGTAAATCCCAGCTACTCAGGAGTCTGAGGCAG